TATATATATAATACTATTAAAAATATCATTTTCAAATTTAAAAAAGTCTGTACAGTTTATTACTTGATAATTCGCTCAAAGTTTTGAAGCAAAGAATGATATTAAATTAAAAATACTCAATCGAGCATGCTAGATTCTGTCGTCATACGGTTAACAATTAATAGTAATAGAGTCTGCCGGAGACGAAGATAAAAAAGAGACCGTGCTCGTTACTGGGTCGACGACAAATAGGATCGACGGAGCTTTTTAGAACGTACACTTAAGATTCAATTTTGTCTTGCCTGGCTGATCTGAAGTGGATGCTCCACTACAGGCTCCCGCTGTTCCTTCGGCTATGCATTATTCATAAAAGCAACTCGTGTTACATTATAGCGTGCATAATACGCTGGTTAATCTGACGCGACGTCATCGCCGACGTCCACGCGAATTCTGATGACTTTTTGAGCGGAACGGAAGTAGAAAAGTATAAATATTAATGCGCGAATCTCGTGATACGATCTATTAACTTCCGAATGTCTTCATAAAAAGTGATAGTCGCCTGCAGTGATCATGATTAATTGCATGAAGTAAAAGATCGAAAATCACGTGATAACAATATCGCGTTACCTATGTTACAACGTCACGATAAGACCGATGTTGAAGACCGGCAAATCTGCCGCGTCAAATTTTTTGTCGACTTTGAATCTCCACTTTCCGGTTTGAAGAGGTGACGATATATTTGTATACGTCGAACTTTTGCAAGGAAAGCTTAATTGAATTCCCATACCCGCAAACACAAGAAATTCTCATAAAGATTTAGGTTTATTTCAGGTAAAATTTCCCTTTCGAAGTTATATAAAAGTTCTGTATTCATGTCTTGAAAAGCCTGTCCTTATTAGAAGTGACTTTGTTTTTTATAGAAATTCCTTAAACTTCATTAATACTTTTCGACTTGATTTCTTTATGCTCTTTTATATTTTTTTAACGGATTATATTTAAATATGTAAAATTATATAAATAAGTATAAAATTTATTTCTACTTATTTATATAATATTACAAATTTTTTTACAATAAAACATCAAAAAAATAAATAATAATTGCGTAATTAATAAATACTTTCAATAGTAATAAGTATTATAACGTTTCTATGATCTCTATTTACGCCTTAGAGTGAAATGTCATTGTTTTCATCATGCAAAAGATTTTTAAAGATTCATAAAGCAATAACTTCAAAGTTTTTTGCATTTATACAAGCATAGATTTAAGCAATTGTAAATTTATTGTATATTTCAACGTAATATTCCTTAGAAAATTATAAGAATTTCTAATTTCTATTTTGTTTTAATGTAACATCATTATTATCTGAGAGGTAGAATAATTAAAGTCTTCTATATTTTCAAAATTTCTATCCTAAAATTGAACAAAATAATAATTCTAAAAATATAATTCCTAAAAATTATTGGAAAGTATTTACAATAGGGTCTTTTCCGAATTTTTAAAAATCTTGATAAAAATCTTTGTTGCGATTTTAATTTAGTAGTAATCAAGAGAGGTCGAAAAATGTATAACTTATCTAAATTTAACTATTTATTTTCAGTACAACTTTTCACATCTTCAGACATTACAAATTTATTATGGCCCTTAAAATTCGATTTCAGTTCTAAATACAACTATAGTAATTTATTATGTCTATTTCACTACATCATTATGATTTAACTTACTATCGAGTGCAACGATTTCAAGAATCTTATGAAACCTCTGAGTATAACTCTATATTTTTATTTAAAAAACGAATATTTTTGTTTAAAATAAAATTCTGCAATAGAGATATCCATACCATTCTACTAGTCTTTGCTTTAATTATACAAATTCTTTATTTTAAAAACACAAATTCTCTGCTTTAAATACAAAAATTCTTTGCTTCAAAAACGCAAAAATTATACAAAAAAATAATTTATGTTCTAAAGTAAAGAATTTGTATTTTTGAAGCAAAGAATTTGTCTCTTTAAGCAAAGATTCAATACATAAAATATGTACGTACACGTATTATATTAGTCATATTAAAACTAAATCGAACTTTTTAAGGGCCATATATACTTATAATATCAAAAAATTCGAAAAAATATACTGACAAAAATAGATAAGTTACATATTTTTCGATCTTCCCCGGTTGATTATCACTGTTAGAATCGCGCAACAAAGATTTTTATTAATATTGCAAGAAAAAAAACATTACTATTCGGAAAAAGCCCTACTATATAATATAAATATAATACATAATTATTAAATTATACCAAATTATTAACTGCAACAACTTATGGACATCTTTTTCAAATAAAGATTATAGTAGCAATGTAAACAATTTAGCTTGTAAAATTGCAACGCAAAATACAATCGGGACAAAATATAATGTGGCCTACAATAAGTATTAAAAGTTGATTTTATAGATTACAATTTAATTTATTGTCATATCGTGTAAAGTAAAACATTTTGACTTACTTAGTAAGTCTTCTCTTCTTTCAGTTATTCGCATTATATTTCTTATAATTCCATTACTATACTATACTAACATAAATTAAAAAACTAGAAACTCTAACAATTATATTCTTTACTCTGCATTTTATAAAAAATAAATGTATTCACCTAGTCATTTTGTATCTCGATATTAGTGATGTAAAATATTTCAATAAACGATTCTTCGGTCGATGTCCAGGATCTTGTTAAGTCACAATTACAAAATCAACAGTTAATTTGAAATATGCCTCACGATTCTTTTAGCACATTGATAATTCATAAATCATTTAAATTCCTCCATAGTGACTATGTTTTCAATAATAATTCGAATAATAATTGATTGTTTTATATAAATTATCTATCTTTTGTAAAATGCGCAAAGTAAAGAATATCGTTGTTGGAATATAATTGCTTCTAATTAGAATTTTTGTTAGTATGGTATAATAACGGAATAAACAAGTATCTGAAGAAGACTAAATCAGTCAAAACATTTTACTTTGTACACGGTATGACAATAAATTGAGCTGTAAATCAATTTTTAATTTTTAATTTTCGTTATAGATCACGATCCTGATTATACTTTATATTATAATAATAATCCCATACACACAGCACACTTCATTCCAGAGATCTTCCTGGGAACGTTCTTATGATGTTGGGACGTTCTCAAGATGTCTTTCAAAACGTCCTTTGGATCTGTGCTATATAGAGTATGTAGGATATGATATATCGAGATATGATTCTATGATTTATGAACTCACACATAATTTTCTTATATATAGCGCCTTATGTCGCACGTATAACAGCAATTTGCGTTGCAAAATACTCATGTAAAGACACGAGGCCACGTCTTTCAAATCTCACACTCCTTCGTTATGTATACTCATATGCTAAATAATGCTTATCACGTTTAAATTCGTCAAAGCGCAATGATTAATTTTTAAACTGTAGCTTTTAATTCTAAAACCATCAAATTATGCAGATTTCTAGAAATCGAAGCTTCACGCAAATTGGAATACCTAATATATAATAGAACGTATTTCGTTGCTAAGCATTTGTTATTGTCTGTAATCATAAAGAGCAATGTAAAGGCCGGAATTACTAAATCGATATTTTACGTCGTGCGACGGAGAATTGCTCATAGCGGACAGTCAAGACATAATGCGGTTGCTTATTGTTACTGTTAATAGACTCGGATGCGGTTAATTATCAATCTGATTGCTGTCAGCCTTAATTAATCGACAGTCTCTAAGTATATGAGAATAGTAGAAGCTTGAACGCACTCGTGCACAGATAATATCCAATATTGTATTAATTTCGTAAGAAAATATTGCTGACACAGACTGATATTATGCGTATTTTACTTCAATTAATTAGAAAGAAAGGCATATTTTATTACATATATAATGAACATAAAAAATATAATTACTGATATTTTAATAATTCAAAAAGTTGTAAATATAAAAATATGTCAAGTGTCCATTTTGATCAGACGATTTTATATCACGACGGATTTCTTCGGAAAATTGATATTGATTAGAAGAAAAATAAAGTGCAAAAATGAAGCGACAGATAATAGAGAAAAGCTCAAGTAAAACGGAACTTGATGAATCCGCGAGTTAGTACGGTCACTATCGTCCTCTTTATGTATTCTTCATCCCCGTTATTTCTTTCATCTCACTCTTTTCACCCCCGTATATACACAGAAGATCAACAAAAGCGTTTTCCTAACAAGGGCGGATGATCGAAATGTTTTATTTTAATTGAAACGCTATCACAGGCAATCCGAACGAAAGAAAACAGCTATCATCCGGCTGATTTTAACGGATGAATTATTCACGTGCCGCGCTCACGTGATGGAAACTATCTTCAGAATCTCTTGAACTTTTTACGAGCAATTAAATTGACGGTACTTGACGGAACGGCGAACGTCTCGCTGCTTAATTAATGTGAAAAAACGAAAACATCTTTGGCCAGTAAATCTTGATCTCTAATTTCGATTCTTCCTGTAAATTTAATTTAATCTAGTTTCTCTTTGATATAATATTTAGATTTTTCAGTAATAAATACAATTTTTAAAAGATTTTTCTTAACTTTAAGTTTTCTATCATCATAAAAATTGAACGAGTTATAAGAATATCAAGTGCGCCATTCATTAAAGTAATGCACATATAAAACTGAGGAAATAAATCTCCTACATTTCTTTACAGATTCACAGATTATCATATAAAATTATGCAATATTATTTATATTAAATATCCAATAGAAAAAAAATAAATAAATAAAGAAACTAATATTTTTTGTAATCACTGATGACCTTGTTAGACGCTATGACCAAATTCAGTCAAATTAAGATCTCATTTTGCAACTCTTAATAACAATGTCTGTATATTGTAATTGCGCAGTTTTTTTATCATATATAATACAACGACAATATATATCGATACTATCATTAAGAGTCATAAAATAAGAGCCTGAGCCATTTGCTACAAAATCCATCACGCAGCCATAACAAACTTTAAAACCTTGTAACTCCAACCTTTTTAGACTAATTAATACTTGAATAACATATATTATTTTTACAATATTTTTACGCTCTATATCTTAATCAAAAAATCTCAAATTTTCCAAAATCCGCATAATACTTATCCGAATCTTTCGTTATAAATTAGAACGCAATATTAATTAATTGGACTATTCTCCGTCCGCCGACGCTATTACTCATAAAGCAATTTCCTTAACATCGAAACTAGTCGCCGTGATATTGAATTGTTATCGCTGACATTACTGCAATTAAAATTAATTTGTCGATCAGGCTTGTGTACACGTGCGCTTCTG